TAGTGAGACGGACAGTTCACATGCCCAGAACCAAGTAAATACTATATAGTTCACGCGATACATGGAACCTTTCAAATTTGGATGCCAGAAAGAATGCAATTCTAGGATAGTGTCATATTTAGTATCTTAAATTTGATCAATTATAAATTAAAAAGCATCAACATTTATAATATTAAATAAGTACCATTAGAATAAATACGAAATATATTTTTATAATAAATTAATTTGGAGTAATAATTATGAATTCTATTCACTAGAAACTTGGTCAAACATGAACCACTTTAATCGGCACGCAACCCGTAGTTGCATTCTTTTGGGACAGAGATAGTATTTGATTCTGACAAGCTAGTCATATATGTTTGCACCTGCACTTGGGTACTCGCTTCTTCTAAACTAGAAGATACCCACGTGTTGCTATGGCTAATACGAAGAAATTTTGGAACGAAAGTGAGTGGGGATGATCTATGTGGATAACTTGCGATTAGAGGTTGAAAGATAGTGGAATGACATAACTATTAGTGAGAGGTGATGTGGATAATTAGTGGGGTATGCTGTGGAGGGCTTGTATGTAGACTTGTAGTGGGGATTAACTTTATAAAAGATATAGATATAGATATAACTATTAGTAGGAGATGATGTGTGGGGTATGATGTGGATGGTTTGCATGTTGAGATAGACTTATAGTGGGGATTAATTTTATAAGAGATATATAGATATAGATATAGATATAGATAGATGACATAACTATTAGTGGGAGATGATGTGGATAATTAGTGGGGGCATGATATGGATAGTTTACATGTTGAGAAAGGCTTATATATAAGAGATATAGATTACATCTTGTCCACACCAAGATCAGTGTTCGCATTCACACATCGATCAAGCTCCAAGAAGAAGATTACCTTTCATGGCAAAATCCAACAAGCAGGACTCTTCTCCTCTGCACATCGTGGTGTTCCCATGGCTCGCCTTCGGCCACATAATCCCCTTCCTCAAGCTCTCCAAGCAGCTCACCAAGCGCGGCCACTTCGTCACCTTCATCAGTGCCCTGAGGAACCTCGTCAAGCTGAGGCCTGTCGCCGTCGACGTTAGGCCGCACATCCGGCTCGTGCCACTGCCACTGCCGCTCGTGGATGGCCCCCCGGATGGCGCCGAGTCAACGGCCGACGTCCCGTCGGAGAAGGTCGACCTCCTTAAGATCACCTTCGATGGCCTTGCCACCCCCTTTGCCTCCTTCCTCGCCGAGGCTTGCGCCGACGGGGAGGCCAGAGAAGGCACTCCAAGAAGCCCGACTGGATCATCCTCGACTTCGCGCAGCACTGGCTTCCGCCCATCCCCGAGGAGCACAAGGCATGTATTTCGTCCGAGTGTCTGACCGACCGTCTCCGTGGTAAGTGCAGGTGCCATGCGTGTAGTGCCGGCCCTGGAGAGGTGCCAGAGGTGCGACGGCCGAGGGCCTAGGGGAGAGAGGGCCCCAGGCCCATGTATACTGTAGACCACAGCCCTATAGTCCGATGACACGTGATAGGCAGCTCGAGACGTTCAGATCAGGAGGGTCGAGCGCTTGCTTCCCCAGTCCGCGAGTCTACTACGTACGCGAGCGCCTAGGGCGAAGGGTCATGGTCCCAGGGAGTCACGGAGAGTCGGAGACGGAGCCACACCACGCTGCCGCCGGTCGCCGCGGAGATCCGGAAACACGGAAACGGCGCACTCACATGCTCGACTCGACGACGACGTGATTAGGCGGATCAGCCGATCATTGGTTTATCAATCATCACTTCATCAGTTCAACAGTCGATCAGGCCCTAGCACCTAGGTATTTTTTCCCCATGATCGTTTTTAATCCAAATTAATTATTTCAAACTTCTAGTACTCGTGCTCTGTCATGTTTTTCTTTTAATTTAGGTGTTAGAATCTTAGAATGTTACCTAAGAAATATTTGTCGGGATCTCAGAAAAGAAAACTGAAAAAACTAGAAAATAAATTTATTGAATCTTAGAAAGGTGCTATACATAAGTGGACACTATTTATCTCAATACCGTCCTAGATGATTCTGCATCAAGACATGCTCGAAGAAGTACCTTTTTATAAGAAGCAATGGATATTATTGAGTTCTATTCTTCCTTGTGGTAATCATATTAGTTTTAGAAGTACAAATATACTATTGTTTTGTTTACTTTTTTTACGGTCATCGGAGGAGTTTTCGCCACCTGAATTTTATTTGGCCCTTGTGGCCCGCGATAATGTTTACAAGATGTTTACATTTTGAGAGAAATGAAGTTTACAAGCCACTCCTGGGCCATTTTAGTTTACATTGTTCCTCGATAACTATCAAACATGTTAAATTAAAAATATATCACTGGATTTATTTTCGTTTTGCAACAAAAATTAACGCCTATATATTATAAGATTTTATATGTGGTCTAGAGGGCGTTCGTGACGAGTTCGCCAGCCTCAAAAGTCTAGGACCGGCACTGCATGCGCGGTGTTGCTGATCTTCCCTGCGGCCTGCGTCGCGTTCGTGGGCCCAAAGGAACTCAACGATGCGCACCCGCGATCCGCGGCGGAGGACTTCACCGTTCCGCCGCTGTGGATCCCTTTTCCGTCCTGCCTCCTGTTCCGCGGCCACGAGGCCGAGTGGGTCGCAGGGGCGTGGCAGCCCAACGTGTCCGGCATCTCCGACGTCGGCCGCATCTGGGAGACGACGCAGCGCTGCCCACTCATCGTGTGCCGCTACAGCCACGAGGTCAACGGCCCACTCTGCACCCTCCTCGGCGACCTCTACGGCAATCCCGCCCTCCCTTCAGGCCTCCTCGTGCCGTATGATGCGGCCGTTTGTGCCGCGGCGGCCGACGGCGAGGGCAAGCATGACGACGAGGAGAGCGCGGGCTCATGCGCTGGCTCGACGCCCAGCCCGCGCGGTCCGTGCTCTACGTGGCGTTCGGGAGCGAGGCGCCGCTGACGCCGGCACATGTCCGCGCGCTAGCGCTCGGGCTGGAGCTGGCGGGCGTGCGCTTCCTCTGGGCGCTCCGGAAGCCGTTCGGCGGCGAGTGGCCGCAGCTCCCGGACGGGTTCGAGGACCGCGTGGGCGCGCGCGGGGTGGTGCGCGTCGGGTGGGTGCCGTAGGTGCGCGTGCTCGTGCACGCCGCGGTGGGCGCCTTCATGACGCACGTTGGGTGGAGCTCCCACATGGAGAGCTTCCTCAGCCTGTTGGCTTGCTCGTATACGATCATGGATTATAAGTCGGAACAATATTTTTCTCTCACACCAAACCAGCCAGCAGTAAATAATCCACGATCGTTTACGGCCTGCCGAACAGGGTGCTGTTCGGCCACCCGCTGGTGATGCTGCCCCTGTTCGCCGGCCAGGGCCTCACGGCGCGGTTGATGACGGAGCGGCGGGTCGGCCTGGAGGTGCCCTGGGATGACTGCGGCAGCGAGTTCCGCGGCGAGGACGTCGCGAGGACCGTGCGGTGGGTGATGGCGGAGGAGGAAGGCAAGGAGTTCTCACGCAGTGCCAAGGGATTGCAGGAGGTTCTTTGGGATACGGCAACGCAGGAGCGCTACATCGATGAGCTGGTCGAGCACTTGCTGCAGCGTCGAGGGGATTATTAGGACGAAGAGCAATGTATTCATCGTTAATGTATCCATCCATCAATAAAAATGAGAAGCGACTTGCTAAAATTCACGTGTTTGAATTTTAGTTTCTTTTCAGGCAACGATTATTGGATATATTTTGTATTAAAATTGTAGCTTTAGTACGCTGCAATTTTAGTAGGCACAATTTGTAATTTTCGGTTCCGAGAATAAAAAACCAGACAAAATTACAAACCCGATAAAATGTGATTTATGCTAGAACAAAGACAATTAGCAAATTTATTATTTACAATTATTTCTATAGTCAGACAAGGACAAAAATTAAATATATTACGACACAAAGATAAATTACAAATAACAAAAGTAACAATTACTTGTACTAGTTGATGATACAAGAGTGGTGTCTGAAATTATCTTAAAATTCAAACACTTAAAACATAGGAGAAGTGAAATGAGGCAGACCAAAGAAATTGCTTACACTCTGTTTTATCAAATTTTCAGGTGACAAACAGTAACTATCAGGTGTCAATTCGACTGTCCCTTCTCAGCTGCTACAGTTCTCCTTCACCTTCCCTTTCTTCTACCTTGTTGCGAAAACCACTCTCTGTTATGGCTCCTCCACCGATCGTTGGTCGCCTCCCATCCTCAGCGGTGTCCCCCAGCCTGTTCGTTTGGCTGTGGCTTGTCGTAAACGATCGTAAATTTCTAGTCGAAACAGTATTTTTCTCTCACACAAACCAGCCAGCAGTACTTCTTCACGAACCAGCAACGAAACGAACCAGCCAACCGAACAGGCCCGTCGTCAAGCCTGTCCCTGCTGCCCTTCATCGTGTTACCCTGATGTCATCCGGCCATCGGCATGACTCCCTGTCCTTCCTTGACTCAATCGCCATCTCCCGCCACTTGCGGCCAGCGGCGCCCCCACCGCTATGCCCCCACAACGCCTCCTTCGCCTAGCCGACCTTCATAAATCAATTTTAGAGGTGGCTGGATTTAGGTTCATCTTCAAAAATCGATTTCTAGGGGCGACTCGATATCTCAAATCTTTTGGGCTCTACTTGTTCCCCCTCTTCCATCATCGGTCGACAGGTGGGAGCAATAGCAGTCGGCATGCTTGGCTTGGATGGAAAATGCGGGGACACCTGGGCTGTGGTGATGAGTCCTTCCTCCCAGGGTAGTGCTGCCGCTGCATGGCCCCTGCATCAAAAAAAAAACATTAATATTTCGAAAACAAACACAATAATAGTACATGAATATTGTCGGTACTAATTAAACTAGCTTGGCAGCCATGTCTCAGAGAAAAAAAAAACAATGCATACCTTGTGACAAAAGAACCACGACGGCAGTGCACATAGAGTGATCCATGATGGTAGACGGCGTATTGCCGGTGCCTATAAGGGAACTCTATATCCGATCGCATCTTCTGAAGTTCTGAACCATCCCTGCCGGCGTTCCTTCCCGGACAAAAATCCTGTCCTCCCATTGACCAGTGCTTGATGAAAACACGCACAGCTTCCATGCCGCTGGTGGCCATTCCATGTAGCGACATGGGTCGTCGTTGATATCGTGCTGCAGCTGGTCAAACTCCCATTGGCCAATTGCCGCGCCGTCTTCTGGCAACGAGAAGAACCAGTCCAAGCAGAAGGGCGCGTCTTTCTCCTTCTCCCATAGTAGCGCACGCCGCTGAACCTCCTCCGCCGGCCAGCGGTGGTCCTCGGGCGGCGATGGCGCCTCCGGCACGGCGGGAACCAAGATGACTTCGTAATGCGGCGACTCGGCCGGATCAAACGCGGCGTACGCACTAGCGTAATGGTGGCCATCTGCGCCCCGGGGAAGCACCGTCCACCGACACGTCGCCGGGTTGCACACGCAGAGCTCGCTTCTCCACTTAGTTTTGCAGAGGAGGAGGCCGTTGCAGTGGTCCAGGACCGAGACCGACCTGCGGTGGTCGTTGGGCAAGAAGCTGAGCGTGCCGTCTACTCTGGGAATCGTCGACGGCGAGCAGGGACGGACTAAGTGGTGAGGGTGGTCGTGGTCTAGGTAGTTTATGAAGACTCCCCGCACGGAGCGCGGCAGGAGGTGTAGATGCGGGAGGAGAAGCGCGCGGGCGTCGACGACGTCGCGCCACGCCTTGCAGACGCACCGGACCACGGCCAGGCTCCGCAGCGGCAGGCCACGGAAGACGTTGGCGAGGGCGTCGTCCGGCAGTGCCCCGACATCCGTTGCCATGATCTACTCCTAGCCCTACCTACTCCTAGATGTAGATGGCGGTTGACGGCGCGGCTCGCTGCAAGGGTTTCACCGAGACGTGCAGCGGCGCTTTTTATATATAACTTTATTTACGCTTTTTTTAGCAACAAAAGTGTGGTCACCAGAGTTTGAACCCTTGGACAGTCCTAAGGGACCCATTCGTATAATATCCCCATCAGAGACGAAAATTGATGGGCCGGCTAACCGTGGGCCGATCGTCAAAGGTTGGAGTATTTTCTTAACACAAGGCCTGCTTTCATTCTTGACTTGAGTACGGATTGAGACGAGTTGGCTATTCTTCTTTAGGCTCCGTTCGTTTGGCAGGGAATCACCCACCGAAGCTAATTCTGTCAGAAATACTACAGTAATTTATATAGCAAACTGTCACCAGTATTAAATCCTGCCAGGAATAGAGCTAAACGAACGAGCCCTTAGTCACAAAGTCAAAGACGGAGGAAATTGACTTTAAATCTGTTTTTGTGGGAGGTTCTTTGGGACACGGCGTACATCGATGAGCTTATCGAGCACTTGTTGCAGGCCACGGAGATTATTAGAACGCCAAGTGCCAACCAATAATCCAACGTTGATGTATTCATCCATCAATAAAAATGAGAAAGACTGGGAATTGCTACCTACAAATACCTGTTTTTTTTCTTCTTCATTCTTTTAGGTGAAGAACAGTAGTTATACTCACAGGATGTCAACCCAACAGTTTCCAGCTCAGCTGCTGCTGTTCTTCAATCTTCCTCTTAGCGAAAACCACTTCCTATTATGGCTTCCCCGCCTATTGCAGGTCGTCCCCAATCCCCGTTGACGTCCCTGCAGCCGAGCTTTGCCTCCGCTGCCCCTTACCACGCTAACCCGATGTTGTTGGGCAGTCCTCATGATTCCCCTGCCCTTCACAGGCCCACCGCTCCCTCGTCCTTCACTGGCCCCACCGCCATATCTCCCCTCCCTTGCCGCTCTGTCCCCGTGCTAGCTTGCCTCTCCTATGGACACAGATCGTGTGCAGTGGCTATTCACACTGCAAGATATGCAATGGCCATATCTGAGCCATTCATCCGACGAGAAGCGGTTGGGATGGGATTCTACTTTTTCATTCCCCGGGCGTTCTTGGAGGGAAACTCTAGAGCTTTGGCGCCATATATCTAGAAGAGCGAGGCGGCGGAGCCGTCCGGCGGTGGGCGAGAGCAGGGAGGCCGGCGAGCTGCCGCGCCATGAAATGCCCAGGACCTCTCCTCGCAGCTAGTGGAGGCGATGCTACTCCTCATGTGCCTGTAGAAGCTGCCGTCCTCCAACGTCCTCATCCCATCGCTCCAGGAGGCATCACGGCGTCTACGCCGACACCGAGCAAGGCATGCGCGTCGAAGAAGGCCAGCGCCAGGCGCCTTCCCCATGCCCCCGTGCAACCTCCCATGGCGCAAAGCATTCCAGCAAGCACCCAAGCAGCTGAAGAAGATGGTGCCACGGATGACGCCCAACAGGTGCTCGAGGAATCGCCTACAAGGTTGTGCTAATCCTTGTTCCAAATCTAACTAATCAGTTCCTGCATAGTTGGATTAAATTTGTTGAAATGTCTTAAAAATGTTAGGTTAGGGAAACATAATATTTTGTCTGGTTGGTTCTCGTGACACAATATTTATAACCACAGGGTGGCTGCAACTCCTTTCTAGATTCCTAAAATAAGTATGAGATTTAGCAGTGTTGATGAGGCTTGGAACTTCTGGGTCACATATGGTGGTAGGATGGGGTTTGATGGTCTTGATGGATTAGTAACAACATGTAGGTTTGTTTGCTCAAATCAAGGTTCTCGGGCTGAAGATAAGAAGTTCTCAGTTTGCAAGCGTAATAGGGCGCAGACAAGAACATGCTGCATGGTTCGTATGGGCATTACTTTAGAAAGAGGAAATGGGACTTACAAAGTACATGACTTATTTGTTGAGCACAACCACATTCTGCAAACTGCACAAACAAGTCATCTGATGCCATCACAGAGAAACATTTCTAAGCATCAGGCTATTGATATTGATGTGGCTGATGATTCTGGAATTGCACCTAAAGTAGCACATGAGTTTCTTGGTAGATATGTTGGTGGATCAGGTAACCTCGGATACACTCATCGTGATCATAAAAATTATTTGCGAACCAAGCGCCAAAGAGAGATGATGTATGGTGAGGCTGGAAGTTTGCTAAAGTATTTTCAAGATAAATCTGTGGAGAATCCTTCCTTTCAATATGCCATTCAAATGGATTGTGAAGAACAAATAACCAATATATTTTGGGCTGATGCAAAGATGATTGTCGACTATGCGCACTTTAGGGATGTCATCACATTTGACACTACCTTTGGAACCAACAAAGAATATAGGCTATTTGGTGTGTTTGCAGGCTTTAACCAATTTAGAGAGACAGTGGTATTTGGTGCTGCTCTTATGTATGATGAGACATTCGAGTCATTCAAGTGGTTATTCAATGCATTTTTGTCGATCCATAATAAAAAACAGCCTCAAACATTTTTTACTGATCAAGATAGTGCAATGGAAAAGGCGGTGTCCAATGTCTTCACTAGTACATGGCATGGTTTATGTACCTGGCATATATCGCAAAATGCATTAAAGCACTTGTGCTCTCAGAATGAAGAGGAGTCTGAGACTGAAGAAGAGTTTAAGTATCTTGTTAGATTTCAGTGCTTGCATGTATCAGTATGGAAAAAGCAGAATTTGAAGAAGCTTTTGATGCTATGAAAGGAAAAGTAAGCAAATCGACCTGGCTAGACAGCATTTACATGTTGAGACACAAGTGGGCTGAATGCTACATGTTGGATGTTTTTTCAATAGGAATGCGAAGTACGCAACTAAGCGAGAGCTTGAATAATGCATTGAAAGTGCATTTGAAATCAGATCTCGACATCGTTAGGTTTCTAAAGCGTGTGGAGCATGTTGTTGAAGACAAGAGAGAGAGAGAGGAGTTACGAGCTGAATTTGAATCTAGAAAGAAACAACCAAGAATTTTGATGATGGCACCTATATTGGTACAAACTAGTAAGATATATACACCTGCAATTTTTGAAGCCTTCCAAGCTGAATATGAAAAGTCACTAGCAGCTTACATAGTGGATTCAAACAGAAGCACTGAATTTTTCATTGCAATTGGAGCTCTTGGGGAGTCATCTACACTTGAAGAAGAGCGTACAGTTATAGTCAACCTTGCTGATCAGATTGTCACATGCAATTGTCGACTCTTGAAAGAATTGGTATATTATGTAGGCATGCACTAAAAGGTCTCGATTTGATGAACATTAAGTTATTGCTTGAAAGATACATTTTGAAACGGTGGACTCGAGGCGCAAGGTCAGAGACTATCCAAGATATGCATGGGAGGGATATAGTGGAAAATCCTAAGTTAGATGCTACACTTCGGTACAAAAATCTTTGCCGGATATTCTTTCCTTTAGCTTCATTAGTTGCTGATTTTGAAGATTGCTACTTGCTTGTTGAAGAGACACTTCACAATGTCCGTAAGCAGGTGGAAGGAAAAATCAGAGAAACTCCTAAAACTGATGTTGAAAATTCTAGTGTTCAAGTACCATTCAGCTTACCTGAACAGTTTGCAAATGTTGCTGGTCTTGAGAAGAAAGAAAAACCAAATGGTGGGTCAAAACAGAAGAAATCTTGGATTGAAAAATTTCAGAAGAAAAAGAAGAACAAAGCAAATAAGAAGACAACAAAGAAAGCTGCACAACATGAAGAAAGTGCAAACCCGGTGCAAGAATTCCAAGCATATGAGGAAAACATAGATGCTACTTTGGAAAAAATCTCAACAATATGAATCACTTAGTAGTTTTTCTGAACTTATTAAGGTATGCTGGTTTTCTCTTTTCTTAAAAAAATATAATTCTAAAGCTGCTGATTTTCCTATCTAGCTTCCTCTCTCTCATTTCAGAGTTCAAGTATTATTCAAGATGCCACTAATCCTGACTCTGTCGGAGGGATAGATGATTGGTATTTTTAGCAGAATATAAATGTAAGTCTACGTAAATTGTATTAGTTCAATTTAATCTAGAAAGCGGCATATCTGAATTATTTTTGTTTGTAGGTCATTTACTGAAGGCATGATCAAATCTGCTATTGGGTGATACAACATTTTGTATATGAAGATAGGAACAGTGCTATATGCTCTCCTGTTCAGCTTTTGTATTAAGCTTTTGGGTAAAAAATACCTCAGTTTAGAGTAAAATATGTGTAGGATTTAGAATCAGTAGCATGGAGCAAAGGGATCCAATACGTTCAGTATGTGGGCATGTGTTCTGTATGGCTGACAATTCAGCAAACTCTGATTTTGAATATGTTCAATATGTGGTCTGCTGTTGTACAGTAGAATATGCTCTTGAATTATTTTTGCATTCGTTTGAGTAAAAGGTGAGATAAAGAAAGGAGGGGAAAAAGAAGATCCATAATCCTGCCGTTCCCCATTAGATGAATGGCTCATATATGGCCACTGCATATCTTGCAGTGTGAATAACCACTGCACACGATCTGTGTCCCTCTCCTATGCCCTTTTCTAAGGCTGCAAGGTGCAGTTAGACCTCTAAAGCTAGGCACGCTCAACGTCGACTAAAGGATATTGAGTTTTTAGATGATTGAACAATATAAGTGAAAGACTAAATCAACTAAGTAAAGACGCTAGTTCAATCATTTATTTCTCATCCCGCCTCTACCAACTATAAGGTTGCATTTGGTTGAGAGACACAGTGGGATAGGATGGTTCCATCTCAGTTTTCATGGACGAGATGATCACATCTGTTGTTTGGTTGAGAAGAGACGAGATGACTCTGTTTTCTGTTTGGTTCTAGGATGTGATGAACCATTGACATGTAGGGCCCACCATTCATCAGATTTTTTTCTTTCTTCCTTTTCCCTTTTCTTTTTCTTTTTTCTTTTTTTCTTTTTTCTTCTTCCTTATCCTTTCTTCTTTGTTCC